CCCCATCCCCTCTCCTCTCCGCTCGCTCAGCTTCTGTGCGGCTCCTTCAGCAGCAGGGGCGGCACAGGTATTATAGATAATAGAAAACCGCTTAGCGGAACAGATTATTATTTTTTCCTCCAAGTTCGTGTGCCGCCCTCCACGTGTCATGAAAAAATGCCGCCCCAGGCGGCTGCCCCGTTCGCCCATGCCTAAAACCGCCACTGGATGGATGGATGACGTGTGTTGATTTTGTCACTTCATGTGCAGCGTAATGACGTTACTTGTGGATGACTGACTGATTTTAGAATTGACTGCAATCTTATTTGTGTCCACTATGTAGCAACATTATATACAGTGCTTGAAGTGGGAAAAAAATAAGTGCAGGAATTCTAATTTTCCGACATTTGACATTTGTGCGGTGAAAAGGATGTGTCTTTAGGATGTGTTGGTTCAAAAACTATTTTAATTTAATTATTCTTCCAAGCAATAACCTATAGGCATAGGCTACTTTTTTCTAATTCACAAATGGAATACTGCAGGCGGCTGAGTACTCACACTCGCTATTTGTTTCCTTTTCGGGGCTTCCATGCCGCTTTCTTTTTGCTTTATTTAGCCACGCTAGCATGATTAGTTCATGGACCACCAAAGGCGACCACCACTTCCGTTTAATGTATCTTTTTTATTGAGTTTTCCAGTGAACAGTGCCATCATGATATTCACAGTATAAATTGCAAGAGTTTGCATTGCTTCCCTGATGCGATTGGTTGGGACTCAGTGGATGCATATGATAGGGCACTGTCATGGCTCGTGGGTAATGTAGTCTTTTATCGGTCTTGTGATATTGTCTATTCTCGGGCCATTGTCGCTGCGTCGGATCAGTTTCAGTAAGTACCAGAAAAACGCAGAAAAAAGTGGCGGAACCCAAAAGACGAAAATACAGAAGTTCCGGAACTGCGTTGCGCTGCGTTCCGGCCCACTTCAAGCACTGATTATATAGGAAAGATAAAGATCAATCACGGTTCCTTTATTGTTATTGCAGCAGAGTACAACAAAATTGAGAAGCAGTCCTTACAGTACATTCACACATAAAAACAGAAAAATAAAGCTACAAATGAAACTAATTTTAAGTGCTACAAAGAATATATTATGCAGATATAAAATGTGCAAGTATAATTGTGTGGTTATGTATATAAATTGAATGTATATTGTTGTAATCTAATTCTTCCAGAAGTGCAGAAGACTTCCAGAAGTCTCAGCATTTTTATTAACATTGTGTATGATGAGTCACACAGTCTGTGTTCTGCATTTTAAGTAACACTCCATTTATCAATAAACAAAAGCCTAACATTCTGTGGCAAAACAAATACTGTGCGAATATAATAATGAAACATAATATAACAGAAACAGGGCAGCTTTTAAGTCCACAGTCAGAGGAGAGCAAGGAGGCTCCAGCAGGGGGCAGTGATGTGCGGAAGAAGAGCATAAAATTAAAGCCAGAGCCTTTAGACCTCACTTAACCCCCACTGGTACATATACTGTAACAACACAATATTCTCAAAATACTGTATAGTGTGGTAACTATATTATGCAGCTCAACTACAATTGCTAAGGGTATTTTTTCCATTTATATGAATGATGAGTAAAATTTCACAGACCACCAGTATAATACCTCACATTTACATTTATCTTATTTAGCAGATGTTTTTGTCCAAAGTGACATACAAGTGAGACAAATAGCACCTTGATCATGATTCAGATGCACAACAGCCATGAATGTGTGTTTCTCACTGCCTGACTCTTACTGTCACACTGTAATGTGACAGTGCTGCATGCCATTTAAATACAGCTGACATCACTGTAAGATGCTCCTCTCTGGTGATTATCCCTCCCCATCACTGGAGTATCTGTGTGTCCCTCACAGCTCTCCAGAGCAGCAGCTCCCCACATGTAGAGGAGCCTCTCTGTGTTGCTGCCCCCTACTGGACAAGGAACAGATAAACATTAACATCAGTTTGGCTTCTGAGGCACTAACACCTTCCTTAGCATTTCAAGGAGTTTGGTGTGTTAATGTTACTGCTACAGGAACAGGAAATGAAGCAGACTGATAGATGAATCTGTGAAAGCTCTTCAGTTCACTTTCACCTGGCTTAAAATTTGAAGCCAAATTAGCTGCGTGTATGATGTTGGAATTGTGGCTCTATACAATGTCAAAGGAACGATAAGACACATATGAAGCATCACAGAGACTAAATGTATCACAGCTTATGTTAGAGCAGATTGTCCAAACTCACCTCTCTGTGCTTCAGGGCGACTGAGCTGTAGACCACATCGCTGGCTGGGGTTACAGCAGGACGCTGTGAAGAACATCTAGAGGACACCTGCTGAGAGTATTTAGCTGCTTACAGTGGAGGGACAAGACCAACCTTTGTACAGAAACCACAAATCCATAAACTCCCAAACCTCCCAAGTGAATCACTGTGAAATATCAGGGTATCATGGTACTTCTTGGTATATTACAGCTAATTCTGATACACATGGATCTGAGAGATCAGCTGAGGTGTAGATGTACCTGCCCAGTCAGTACATTATTGATATACGTGTCACTCTCATTGTGATACTGGTCCTGTGCCTGAACCAAATGCTGATTTAGATGAAACCATCTTACCTCTGGGTCTGACAGGACAATGGAGCTGTAGATGACATCAGCACCAGGCTCCTCAGAGGCCTGAGAGAAGAAAACGTCTTGACCATGTAACTCTACAGAACCACCTGTCCGTTCTTTAACTGACAGAAATAGAACATCATTGTTGGTGAGTTTGGTGATAGTCTGATGTATCAGTTACTGTTTTGTGCACTGCAAAAAAAATCTATTGTAAAATAACAGTCAAAAGTCTGGCAGCAGGGGTGCCAGACAAAACCTGTTAATTATCAGTGAAAAACATTTTCAGAAAAGTTAAAATCTATTAAAATACAGTAATTTTAACTGATAGAAATACTAATTTATACCATACTTTAACAGGTTTCCAACATAGGAAAACTTAGGAAACCTGTTAAATTTCTATCAGTTAAAATTACTGTATTTTAACAGATTTTAACCAGCACTATTGGTTATACTATACATCAGCACTATTGGTCTTCTGGAGAGTGGGCAGGTCCAGGAGCTGCAGAGTGTAACAAACTTTATAATCTGTGTCAATGAGCACTGCCTTGCCTGAAATGCTTTGCCTGGAAATTAACTTAAACGTGTATTACACATTACAGGAGAAATACTTAAAAATTAATTAGATTTATTAACTGGCTCCTGAAAGTAGGAACTGTAAATGAACTGACCTTAATGAGTATTACAGTCAGGTACATTGCAATTCATTCCACTTGAAAAGTTACAAGATAAGCTAAGTCAGTATAATTGGCTCAGTAGTAATAGTATTTAGGCTTGTAATCCAAAGGTTGCTGGTTCAAATCCAGCTTCAGTTGGATGACTGCATGTTTATGGGCCCTTGAGTCAAGAAAAATAATGAATGTAATGAATTACTATGTTCTCAAATTACTGTTTGTAGTTTTGTGAACAACACCATTTATTAAACAAAGAAATCTGCATTGGCAGAATGAAGAATTAAAAATGAAAATAAACTATTATTTATGAAATATTCCTTGGAACAACAAATTGTGGAAAACTGTGAATTTACAACATTTTCCTTGAGACTTGAAGGAAAAATTTGTTTTAATGTTGTTTTAACGGAAAATGTGCCGGTAATTTTCTGCCAGTATATTTTCCGTTTTTTGATGGATTTTTTTTTTTTTTTACAGTGTGCAGTATATCCTTTGATAATTGTTAATGATAAATGCAAGTTGTTTTAGAACTTGAATAAATAACTTGAATTGTGACAATGGAGGCTGTCCATATTTTTTAGAATTTATTTTAAATCCATTCATTAGATGGAATAGGTTTTCATTTGTTTTGAGTTTAACACACTTTGATTTTTTTTGAGTAGATTTTTCCAAAAACAATAAGTTTTGTAGTGAAATTGGGTTATGGTTAAGTCGGTTGAACTTATTTTAATTTAGTGTAATTGAATAATTTTAATTGAATTAAGTAAGTACAGATTAAAGAAATAGTAATGTAGTAATACAATATATGTTTAGCAAACTTAAAATGTATTTCATAGAAAACATAAATGAGTAAAACTAATGTATATTTTTAAATTACAATATACCTAAAAAAATGTTACAGATACTTACATTTTCTTATGTAATCGGTTACAACAAAAGTTTTGAGTACTCTGAACTTACTCGGGTTTACAGTGTAGTACTAGCTGTGTCACGTTCGGCAACGGAGGCGAGCAGGGAAGCAGGCAAATGGAGCCGGAACTTTGGGTAAACAGGGTTTTATTGCTCACAGGACAGATGGACAGAGACATCCACGGACAATACAATGATGGATCTGGGGAAGACAGACTGAGACTCGGACTAAATACAAAAGACTATCCAGAAATAACAGGACACAGGTGATCACAATCGGGGATGAACACGAGGTAACGAGGTGGGCGTGGCACACATCAGGATCGGACGGAGCGGGGCATGACAAGCTGCATTATTTTAGGGCCAACAGGCAGTTAACATTGTTTTTCCGTAGTTGCTCACTGCATCAAATACATTGTAATAGGACCAATAAAATGATTGTAATGGAAGCTATAAGGAAGGGTGGTTTGTTGTTTTAATTGAATTGGTCTGTCAGCAATTGAACTGCACAATGATTTTTGATGCATCTCAATACTGGCAAAGTATTTATGCAACTGGAAATGGGACTGCAACAAAATACTTTCTCAGTGGTAGGTGCATGAAAAAGAGGCTGTTCATTTTTACAATTAGATACATGGGTTGCTCTCATAATTATCATTGTATACATTTTATTCCTGCACTTTACCTGCCCTGGGGGGTCTCTCTTGATGATGCCAGTTCTGTCTATTGCTGCATATTCAGGGTTTGGGTTCAGCTAGAACAAAGTCACAGCTCAGCGTTCAAACAATCACTCCTCAAGTCAGTTTCACATCATATTACTCTACAAAAATTTACTTTTTAATGAGTAAGTGGCAGTTAGCACTGTGTAATTTCTGTTTTTGTTCTCTTTTAAAAGACGTAACCCTGCAGAATCTTCTAGACCAGTGATTCTCACCCTATTTTGCATCCTGACTTTTGCACCCAATTTTTAACCTGACAGTTCAGTCACAAACCGATGTAGGTAAGTAGTAAAACTAGCCAGCTCTCTCAAATTCAACATCACACCTACTACAATTTGAAAATTGAAAAAAAATGTGAGACTTTCTGATTTAAAAAAAGCAATTTTAACATTTTTAAATAAAGGAAAGAAATGGGTCAACAACTTTCCAACTGGAGCTCACGACCCTTTCAAAGCTTGTCGAGACCAGCGGGTTAAGAAACGCTGTTCTGTACTTTCTGTATTAAATATGAACTTACTGTCAATTCTGTGTTTCCCTGATTTTGAATCGTTGTTTTTTTCTCTATAAGAAAAAAAATGAGGAAAAAAGCCACAAAAATCATTCTGTTCCCACCAGTGTCTCTGCTCTTAAGTGATAATAATTTACTGTGTAACAAACAAAGAGTCTCTGAATTAGCATGTACATATATCCAGTGGCTAAATCAGAGTCTGAGAGGAGGGGGGGGGTCCTGTCAGGTACAGAGTGGGGGGAGGGGGTCCTAAATTATTCAACATGTTGTGATACCACTTTATAGCAAAACAAAATAGACTAAAACATGATCAAAGACTCAGGTCATTTATTTATTGTCTGCATCAGCAGATACTCACTGTGTTTGTCCTGCACTTTCCATGTGATGATGATGATGATCAAAAGCAGCACCAATAAGCCCAGTCCTACATACAGAGCCAGCTGGACCAAGGAGCTGAATAAGATGGTGGATTTGAACAGTAAAGTCTTACATGGTTTATAGCAACACAGTTCAGCCACATCTGTACTATTACACAGGATACATGTGAGGAAGAGGAGACATTAATAAGTAACATGAAAATAGCTCAAGATTTTCACACAACATGTTATACTGTTTTGTAAAATCCATCCATCCATCTTCCAGGCCTGCAGTCTATCCCCAGCAGCACAAGGCAGAAGGCAGGGGCTCAGTCTGGATGGGATGTCATCTCAAGTTTATTATAATTAAGAAACAAAATGAAAAGCAATATCCTAATTCTCGTAAATATAATGGCAGTTTCCCATTACAGTGTGACCAGGTAAATGCTGCTAGCTGGACCCCCACACTACTGTAAATGCTGCTGAATGCTTACCTCAGGTTTTCATTATTCCCTCCGTCTTAATGTGCCAGAAACCATGAGCATTGGAAACAAGAAAAAGGATTGTTAATTTACACTAAAGGCTCTTAAGAAAAGGTCCTTTTAAAACTGATATAAAAATAATGGAAAATATTCCATAGAACAGCTGGTTGGATACAGAATAATAAATTAGTGTTATGATCAAAGTATTCATATCCCAGGGAACTGGCAGCAAATTGGTGATATTATTTTATTACTATATCATAATGTACTTATTGCAGCACTGGATCAGTTATTACAGATTATAACTGTAACACTGGCCTCTGCTGCAATTTGAAACCACCTACAGACACATCAGCCAGTCTGCACACCTTCTGTAACAATTTTCAATTTGGATTTACACTGAACAAAAATATAAACGCAACACTCTTGTTTTTGCTCCCATTTTTCATGAGCTGAACTGAAACGTTGGAACATTTTTCTACATACACAAAAGACCCATTTCTCTCAAATATTGTTCACAAATCTGTCTAAATCTGTGTTAGTGAGCACTTCTCCTTTGCCAAGACAATCCATCCCACCTCACAGGTGTGGCATGTCAAGGTGCTGATTAGACAGCATCAATATTGCACAGGTGTGCCTTAGACTGCCCACAATAAAAGGCCACTCTGAAATGTGCACAGTTTTGCTTGGGGGGGGGCAGAATACCAGTCAGTATCTGGTGTGGCCACCATTCGCCTCACGCAGGGCAACACATCTCCGTCGCATAGAGTTGATCAGGTTGTTGATTGTGGCCTGTGGAATGTTGGTCCACTCCTCTTCAATAGCTGTGCGAATTTGCTGAATATTGGCAGGAACTGGAACACGCT